GCCAGGATTATGAGAAGCTGTCAAAGAGCGGAAGCAAGAAGAGTTGGTTAAATCAAAGGCCAACACAAAGGGTTTATTTTATTTTTGCAAAGTTACTTTTTAGTTGCCTTGTTTTATTCACGGGAGCAGGTCCCACAACTTCCTTTCTTCTTTCGAGGCTTCGTAATATTACAAAGTTTGAAAGTCAGGCCAAGTGTGTGTGGGGCAGTTGGGTGGGGTGGATGGGTGTGTGAGTGACTGAGAGAGAGGGAGAGCATAGCTGGCTGGAGAATTCTGGGAGTTGAAGTCCACAAGTCTGCCAAGTTTGAAGACCTCTGTTCTAGAACTTGGAAACGGAGTCTGGCACCGTTGCATTTCCACAAAGTCCGTTGTGGCTGACAGCAGCTGGCAACACCCAGCTTATTTTTAGTTTTTTTAAAAATAGATTTTGACATAATGAATAGAGGCAAATTTTGGATGGAAAGAAGAACCAAGGATTTTCTATGAGACTGTGGATTGTAGTGGATTGTCGCCATGTTGAATCCTCCCAGTCCTCCCACTGCGAGACAAAGCCCAGATTTATTTTTGCTGGGCCTTTTGAATTACCGACTGATTCTAGAAACCATCTTTTGCAGAACTTTGTATTATAGAGAATAACAGAGTTGGAAGGGACCTTGCAGGTCTTCTAGTCCAACTCCCTGCCTGGGCAGGAAACCCTACACCACTTCAGACAAATGGATATCCAACATCTTCTTAAAAACTTGCAGTGTTGGAGCATTCACAACTCCTGGAAGCAAGTTGTTCCACTGATTAATTGTTCTAACTGTCAGGAAATTTCTCCTTAATTCTAGGTTGCTTTTCTCCTTGATTAATTTCCATCCATTGCTTCTTCTCCTGCCTTCTGATGTTTTGGAAAATAGTTTGATTCCCTCCTCTTTGTGGCAGCCCCTCAAATATTGGAAGACTGCTATCCTGTCTCCCCTAGTCCTTCTTTTCATTAAGCTAGACACACCCAGTTCCTGCAACCATTTTTCATATGTTTTAGCCTATTACAGATAATGTTTGATTTATTCCCTCCTTACGGGGTTGGGACCCTTCCTTTAGCAAAGATCTCCTCCACCACCTCTCTGCAGTCCTGAGTTCCCTTTGCAGAGAACTCTGCTGGGTGGCCTTGAACTCTCAAGATGGCAAAAGGAGTTTGGCAAACAGAACTCAGCCCAAGAAGGCTTATGTTGGGCATTTGGAAGTTAAAGATAATGGGACATAAGAGGGATGGGCTACCTGTTCCAATTTTTAGCTATTCTGGTCAGTAATGAAACCTATCCCCCACCCCACCCACCCGGTTCTATGGGCGTGGCTTGGTGGGGGGTCATGTGACTGGGTGGGCATGGCCAACTTAAAAAAAAACTTTTAAAGCATTTTCCCCTGGCAGTTTGGGTGAACCAGCAGAGGAAAAATGCTTTAAAAAGTGTATTGGGGAGTAGCTTCCGAGGATCGTGTGGCATTTTTTTTTACTACCAGTTCGCAGGACCAAGGACAATCGTCTGTACCGGGCCGAACCGAGAGGATTTCACCCGATTCTAGGGCACAGCTGCAATTGCTAACGTAGCATCACTGCAAGAAAGACAGTGCAAGCTTTTGCCAGAACTCTTCAGCAGCAGCTGCTGAGAATGGCTATAATCTGGAGGTTGGTATAGTTTACAGGGCTGTCCCCATCAGAAGTGGTATTCAGCAAGTTCTGACCAGTTCTAGAGAACCGGTAGCAGAAATTTTGAGTAGTTCAGAGAACCGGCAAATGCCACCTCTGGCTGCCCCCCCCACCCCATCTATTCTCTGTCTCCCAAGTCCCAGCTGATCAGGAAGAAATGGGGATTTTGCAGTATCCTTCGCCTGCCACACCCACCACACCGGTAGTAATTTCTTTTGAATCCCACCACGGCCCAAGGGAAGACGTAGAGAGCACAAGCCCTTTCCGACTGCCTTTTAGAGAGTGTGTCCCCTCTCCTGGTTGCTCAGCTTTCAACCTGCTGATCCAGGTTGGGCTTTTTTCAGGGACAGACGCTGACAGGCACTTTCACCTGCTACCAGAAGCTGAAATGTGCTGCCTTTGGCTTCAGCCTCCCCCACACCCGTCCCCCGTCAAAATATTTTTTACTACTGGTTCTGTGGCCGTGGCTTGGTGAGAGTGGTAGAGGAAGGTTACTGCAAAATCCCCATTGTCTCCCGATCAGCTGGGACCCGGGAGGCAGAAGAATAGATGGGGGCAGGGCCAGTCAGAGGCAATATTTACCGGTTCTCCAGACTACTCAAAATTTCTGCCTCCAGTTCTCCAAAACTGGTCAGAACCTGCTGAATACCTCCTCTGATGAAGGTGTGTTGAATATGTTTGCTAACGTGAGTAAAAATAAAAAGGCAGGAAACAAACAAATCCTGTGAACATGGCTTATAAAATGCTTATCACTACATGTTTGTAAATGTATTTATGAAGCATTCATATATTGTGTTGACAATTAAAAGCCGATGAGAAATCCTGTATCAAGGGAGCCTTATAATAGTAGCACTTAAGAATTATATACCACTTTATAATCTTTTATAGCACTCTCTGAGCTGTTTACATGTGTTAGCATATGGCCCCCAATAACCTGGGGCCTCATTTTACTGACCTCAGAAAGATGGAAGGCTGAGCCAACCTTGAGCCCATCAGTATCGAACTTCTGGCAGTGGGCAAAGTCAGCCTGCAATACTGCATTCTAACCACTCACCCCCATGGCTCTTATATGAATAAGTTAGCAATTAAATGGATAAAAATCCAAAATCAAAATAGCACAACAAATAATTTCAATTTGGAATTCAGAGTATGGAGACGCCCACCTGCTCTAAAAGAAATAAAAGCAACTAGATGGCAGAGCCCACTGTCAGAATGGAATTGGAGATGACCTAAAACCAGGAGATTGGGAGTTCCAGTCCCGCCTATAAAGCAGTGGTGAAATTTTTTCTTACTGCCAGTTCTGTGGGTGTGGATTGGTGGGGGTGGCAGGGGAAGGATACTGCAAAATCTCCATTCCCATTCCACTCTGGGGTCAGCCAGAGGTGGCACTTCCCAGTTCTCCGAACTACTCAAAATTTCCATTACCGGTTCTCCAGAACCTGTCAGAACCTGCTGGATTTCACCCCTGCTAGAAAGCATGAAAGCTGGCCAGGTGACTTTGGATCTCTCTCTCTCTCTCTCTCTCTCCCTCCCTCCCTCCCTCTCTCTCTCTCGCAAACCCACTTCACAGGATTGTTGTTGTGGATAAAATAGGAGGAAGAAATACGTTTGCTGCCTTGAGTTACTTATATAAGGTAATAAAGGTAGGATAAAAGCAAGTCAAAGCAAAACTGCCTGGGAAATTCTGGGAACTGAAGTCCACCTCAGTGATCGGACACTTGCTGCCCAGTGTGTTCTGCGCAGGACCGAAGGACGATGGTGAAGTCCACCTATCTTAAAGTTGCCAAGGTTGAGAAATATTGTGCCAGTCCCTCAACGGATACATTGTTTTAGGAGAGAAAAAAACGCCAATCAAAATTCTAGGGAGGTTGTATAGAAGGATTCTCTGTAACAGTGGGGGCAAACCACTCGGTGCCAAAAAGGTTGCATGGAAACATCACGTGTATGTGCTCATCAGGGCCAGGCTCCGAAAAGCTGAACTTCCAGGTTCTAGTGCGCATGTGCACCCAATGATCAGCTGGCCGGCGAGCATGCACAGGGCCATTTTTGGCACTGCCGCACGGACAAAGAATTGTGCTCTGGAAAAGCCAAACCTCTGGGTTCTGGCATGCATGCACACCTAATAATGAGCTGGGCTGCACACATGTGCACACTGGTTTTCGGCACTGCCGCGTGTGCAAAGGACAGTTGATCGTCACACGTACATGGTCACCAGAAACCTGGAAGACAAACAGGCAAAGCCATGTGTGCCAGGCAACATGGCTTCGTGTGACACTTTGGCCATAGGTGCCATAGGTTCGCCATCACAGCTCTAGAACTGTGGTCCTAGTCATAAGATTAGGTTGGATAAGGGAGTCAAGTGACAACTCCATTCATTCCTCATGGTATGAACTGCCCCCTGGGCTACTAACTGGCCATTGAGGAAGATGCCCCCCAAAGATTCAGCTCTTGGGTAAATGGCCTTCACCTCCGTCCCAGACTTTGGAGAGGCTACCAAGGAGGCTCCCTTGGCCCAACATTCCAGGATTCAGGAAGATGGCAAGCACCCCCTCCCCAACTTTTCTTGACCATCCTCATAAATTCCTCGATTGTTGGAAGTCACCTGGAGTGTTGGTATATATAGAGAAAATCAATCAAGAAAACTTCTGGGTAGGGTTCCTGAGCGGGCAGGGCAGGAGAACGGCATTAAATGAATTCAACTTCTGCATGTACACAATACAGGATCTATGACCAAGGCAAACGGGCCAGCAGCACCGACACGTTGCGGGAATGTTTCAAAGAGTCGTCAGGCAACCGTTCCAAGGGAAGGCCCGTTGATGTAAAGGCCCAACCCGTATGGCTGGACGTGCTGATTTGGGACTGGGATGAGGACGGTGGAGGGAAGTAGCTCAGCGCTCCCGCCCGGGCGCCCGATGTCTGGCAAGCGGCCCGGGGAGGGGAGTTGCGGCATCGCCCGTGGGTCGCCCTCCACAGGCCCAAGAGCCGCTCTTCGCCGCCCACCGGGGAAAAAAGCGGCAGAGCGAAAGCGGCGCGTCTCCATCGCAGCGCAGAGCCCGTCGGCCGCTCGCCAGAGGCTCCCGAGCGTTTCCTTCCCGGGACGGGAGCGATGCCGGAGCCCCCACCCCCGTCGCGGCCCGGTACCCATCCTCGACCTCGCCGGGCGCCCGTCACATAGGGCGCAGAGCCGGGGAAACCCCGAGGCGGGGAGGGCGCGAGGCCCGCCCGGGAAGGGCGGGAGAGCGGCAGGAGCGTCGGGGCGGGGGCTCCAGAGCGCCGGCCCCGAATAAAGGCGGCGCGCTTGGCCGAGGCTCTTAGCCTGCCGACGAGTCACTCCCGCCGCTCAGCGAAGCTCCCAGCCGAGTCGCCCGCAGCCCCAGGACGCCCAGCCCGCCGGCACGATGCCGAAAACGGTACGGATGGGGGGAGGGGGAGAGTCCGGGCCGGGGAAACAGCGGTCAGGGGGGCGCCTCTTCTCCAGCGGCGTCGCATCGCATCGCGGCTGTTCAGAGTGCGCGGAGCGGAAGGGCGTCTCCCGGGGGGGGGACAGGGAGGGAGGGCCGGGGGCGCCCGCGAGGGTCTCCCCTCGTACCGGCCGTGGAGCTTTCTTGAGCCGGACATCGGGGGGAGGCAGAGGTGTCGCTCCGCCGTTCCGGCCGTGAATGGGGGCGTCGTTCTCGGAAAGGGGCCCAGGCCGGGGCGCACCCCCCTCGCACACGCGCTGGCCGCTTCCGCCCACGGCCGCTGGGTAGGGGACGAGTCCCTCGACCTCGGAGCGAGCCGGGCCAGTCCCTGGCGGCGCTACCAGCAGTCTCGCCCGCTGCGCCAGGCGGACCCCGCCCGAGGAAAGCGCTTGGCGCGGCGGAAAGTCCGGCGGCGGGGGGCGAGACAGCCGGGCCCGAGGCGGCGATGGGCGGGAGTCGCCCAGTGACCTCAGGGCCGGCCGTGGGGAGCCGGTCGGAGTCCCCCCCCCCCCATGGCACCGGGGTTGGAGCGCCGGGCTGCCGTCGGGCGGGAAGGAGCCCAGGGAGGGGCGGTGGGCGCGGCAGCTTTCCCACAGACCCGCCTTCCTCCTCGGGAGCAGCGTGGCTGAATCGGGGGCCGCGCGGGGGTCTGTCTGGGAACCGCCGTGCTCGGCTGACCAGTCGGCAGCGGCCGGCCGGATGCCGGTGCTCGCCCGTGGGAAAGTGGGCCTCGCTACCGTCGGGTGGAAGGGGCGAGGCGGCCCAGCCTCTCCGGGTCCCGCTCCCGGCCGGCCTCCCCCCCTCGATTCTTGGCCGGGCAGGAAGGCCGCCCCGCGGAGCATCGCCGGCTGCGCTGCGGCTGGCAGGAGGATGCCGCGGCTGCTGAGGGGCGGAGGAGGGCAGAGGCCGGAGCTTTCCCGCTCTTAAGGCGGAGGGGCGGCGGCTCCGGGAGGGAGTTTTAGCAAGGGCAGAATTTCCCCCCGCGTGGCCATTTGCCCACGTGAGGCCCAGAGGCGTCCAGGCTGGAGAGGCAGCCAGGGAGGCGCTTCTGCAGGCTAGACCCGGCTCCCCCTCCTCCTCCCCTCGCCCGTCGAGTAAGAGAGTCCCGGTTCCTTGAGGGCGGAAAGGGCCAGTCCGGCCTGCCGTTGTTGCTCAGTGTTGGGACCAGCGGCGGGTGCCCGTCGGTGCTTCAGCTGGGAAGGGACATTTTGAGATGGCGTGGTGGTTGTTTTTTTTTTAATGAAGAAAAGCTCCCATTTCCCTTGCTGGGACTCCCATTGTCTGCGTGCCTCAACGTTTTTCTCAACCTCGGCAACTTTAAGCTGTAGGGCAAGGGTGTCCAAACTTGGGAAATTTAAGACTTGTGGACTTCAACTCCCAGAATTCTCCAGCCAGCAGAGTTGAAGCCCACACGTCTTCAAGTTGCCAAGTTTGAAGACCTCTGTGTTCAATCATACACTGTGTTTTACAGACTGTGGTACTGGGACTATAGGAGACTTCCGGCCATAAGCAAGTGATCCAGATTAGTTTGGACATCCCTAGCTTAGATCTTGGAGCAGCCTTGCCCAACTTCTCATGACCTCCAAGGTTTGCAACTGCAACTTCAGGGCTTCCCTGGCTGGGGAATTCTGGGAGTTGAAGTCCACAAGTCTTAAAGTTCCCAAGTTTGAACACCCCTGCTGTAAGGCCTTCAACTCCCAGAATTCCCCAGGCAGCAGGACCTGCCCGCCATAATGTCTGGCCAGCTGCTTTTGGTGTATTTCTTTGCATTGCTTCAATGGCTTTCAGTAGCTCATACCTTTCTCCCATAACCGTTGCCTCGGTGGGGAAAGTTGGATGGACTCCTTCGGGCATAGGCAGAGGCCTTTCCCAGTAGTTCCTCTCTGAAGCCTCCTTTGTCTGGAGATCCCAGAGATGGAAGATAGGCCTTCTTCCTTCCAGGCCTGGGGGGATCTCCTGACTCCTGGTGCAGAAGGGCCCTGGTGGAAGAGTTGCAAGGGAAGCTGATTCTTTGGAGATCCAGAAACCTGAGCAAAAAAGGGGGACGGTCCACCTTTATTGCAAAGAAGCGAAAACTGCACCTACCCTCAGTAGTAGCAACGATGGGTCTAAGGGGAGGAGGGGTAATTTTCCCAAGAGACCAACATGACAAACTGGGTCTGTTGTAGAGGGCTGAACCAATGGAACTGAAGGTGTGGAGGCATGCGGGCACATGTGTAAACTGAAAAATAGTTGCCTTAAAATTTTTAAAAAAGCAACGTAGTTGCATTGCGTGCATGGTATATACACTTGTTTACATTTGATTTCTAATTTCTAAGTGATCTCAATGGGTCAGATGTAACCCTGGGGCTGTACAATGCCCTGCTCTGGTCTAAGGGATTTGCAATCCAGTATTGTGGACATCATCCCAAGTCTAAAACAGAAGCAATTTCCTTGAATGTGTCAACCTTACCAGATCAACCAGATAGGGAACACAACCAGATAAGATTAATTCTGCTTTATGGCAAAGCTACATGAACAGAATGTGAAAGTACAATTAATTCTGCAAGCCTGAGATCTTGGGGAGGGTTCCTTCTAAGTCCCTTGCCCCACCTAGCCACAGGTTGTGCCCTCTTATCTGGCCACTCCTAGGCAACATCTCTTTGCTCCTTTCCCCCAAAGTCATTCTGACATACCATTGCAAGATGTGGGCCCTGGGGACTTTGATGCTGTCAAGAATTGTAGTTGGATCCCTGTGGAAAGTTAGAGACTGCTGAGCAACTAGGGTTCCAGTTCTAGGGACCCAGGGCAAGGTAACTTGTGGAGAGCTTTGCGCTTTTGAGAATTGTTACTGGTTGCCTGTGGCTGCTCATAAGAATGGCTGCTGTGTGGGCACAGCTGTTTACAAACTGGTCCTTTACCAGAGGGCAGCAGTGCTGGAGAGATGCTCTGTGCCATCCCTTCTGGGATGCTCCCGCTCACCTGCCTTACCTGCATCTTTGCATGGGATTGGTTGGCACCCTGCCAAATGAAGCCATGTTTATTTTTGAAGAATGCCAATGGGACTGCTGCCCTTGGAGGCTGGCCTATTAACTTGTGTTGTTTTGTAATATTCTTTAAGTTAAAAATAAGTCGGATGGTGCAGAGAGATTGAGCCCTGCAGGAGAAACTGTTGATGCCAGGAGCAAAGCAGAGTTCCCAGCTACAGTTGGGGGGTGCATGGCCTGGGGAGCAGCACATGGCTCATGTGCCTGGAGACTGGAGGCATGTTCCTGGAGCACCTTGTCTTGGGGGATTGATGGGAGCTCCCCGGTTTGCTAATCACATTTGTGGTTGGCCTGGTTTTGCTGCCTTCTGTTGGACGAGGGCCAGCCACTTTGGAGAGCTTCCATATCTTGTATTCTTCCTTGCATCTTTCAAAATGGAATTTCATAGTTTTTCCCTGGGATGCTGAAATATCCATAGCTGACATAAGTTGCAATAAGCTATATCTTTCTGACTACTGGCTTTGGAAGAATAAGTTTTGAACTGAAATCATTGCAATCACTGTGCCGAGAATATGTTAGTTTGGAGCTGGTAAGATGAGCTTGGAGTTGTTGCAGAGCCTTGTCTGAGCTTGACTGGAATGGCTTCCTTGGCTAAGGAAGGTGAGGTGTGCTAAATGTGGAGCGTGTCAAGTCTGTACTTGACTTCCTTTTGGGGGAAAAACAGGAAAATTTTAGGAGAAAAGATTCCAAGAGAAACGAGAAGGGACCATCTTGGCTTATTTTTTAGCTGAAAAAACTTTGAAGGAGCAAAATAAGAGACTGGTTTGATTCGCTCACAACAGGAGAATGTTTTTCAAAGCGGCCTAGATGGGGGTGGGGGAAATGCAACGCACAGCTTCCTTAAAATACTAAGGGTATTGTGAGTGGATTCCCCCCCCCGCCTCCCCCCCACTGCTGGCGAGAAAGATCAGTTTGATTCTCTAACTCCTTGTTCCTTGGGTTGTACAATAGCTTCTTTAAAGAGATGGGCATCTGATACTTGAGTGGTATAACCTTTGAAATGAGATGGAGCTGCAGCTTTTCTTTCTTCAGGTTTTTTTAAAAACTGCCATTTTTAGAAAGAAAGAAGGCAAATGGCTGCTTTGTTCCTAGACAGGAGGAGGGCTTTTTTTTTGACATGCCAGGCTAGCCCTACGGTAGGGTTTGAAAACCTTCTCAAGAGAAGGCGGATATCATAAGAGCCCCCCCTTCTCCTCTCTTCCTGTTCCTTCGGAGGCCGTCTCCCTTCTGCGCCGACTCCTCCCTCTCTCCCTCCCTCCCCTCCCCCCCCAGGCATGGGGCCACCAGCAACAAATCTGCATTTTCAGACATTGGGTACATTTGCAGCCATCTAGAGCTGTGATTTCATAGCTTGAAGGTGGATCTGGGGAGCAAAAGCATGAGGCTGTCTCTGTATTCAGCCTTCCGGATCAAATTCCTAGTCCTTTGGGCAGGGGTCATTTAGGCACCACTGATGGCCAGAGTAAGCGCGTACTAGTTGCCAGGTGAACTCTTGATTCCCCTGGGTCAGTTGTCCTTGCTTCCAGTGATCATGGATCGAAACTGTTTTGTCTGATCTGATTTCATATTAAAAAAGTAAAAAAAACAAAGCCAGAATTCCTGGGATCTATTCGTGCAACTTTTCTCCACTTTGGCAACTTGGAGGAGAGTGGATTTCAACTCCCAGAATTCCCTAGCCGGCCAGGAAGCCCTGGGAGTTGAGGTCTACACACCTTAAAAGTTGCCAAGTTTGAGAAAAAACGTGTCTTTGTGTTTGCAATTGCTGTAAATGATAAACTAAGAATGCACACTTAACCTTCTTAAGGCAAAAGTATGTCTTCAGTGAGCCTGAGTAGCACTCTTGCTTTAAGTGTGCCAGAATTACCCTGATGGTCTGACAAGTGCCCCTTTTCCCAGGCAGAAATCTTCACTGGGGTGTTATTT